TTTGCCGATATAGCTGTTAATTCGGTCACCCGGTAGCGTTCCGTCGCATTCCGACCAACCGTTGCATCGTCGTAGATGCAAGGCAGCTAATTAGAGTTCATAGTTATTAATTGTTTCAAATATTTTAACTCTGGTTCTACGTCAACTTTACAGCTGTCGCGCGACGGACAATAAATAATAACAATAACAATAAATCTCTATACGCGAGTCACCTTTATTTCGTTGTTTGCATGATAATAAATGACATACCAGTTTTGTATTAAATGTCGCTTCTTCTTTTTTACAATTAGTAATTTATTACGAAAAAGCTCAAGTTATATGAGCTATGCAATATTGTTATATGGATGATTATCGCTTGTGTCAATTATTCAAGAGAAATGCATGAACGAGTTTTCCCATTCGGCAAAGATGATTTCATGTATTTCAAAATATGTATAATTTTACCTCTGAATTTCATCAATTAGATTTAAAAATAAATTGAATATATGACATTGAATAGTATATGTAGATATGAAGTTATAACAATGCTAGAATTTGACAGGTAAACAATGTGTTTTTTCATTACACTCAAAATATGAATATATTTCATATTTAAACAATTCAAAGAAAGATTTTTATATAATAATAAAAATGACACAACACAAACAATAAAATAGCATCAAACAGCATCAAATCTGTAACAAGTTAATTAAAGAATAAAAATGAAAATTTAAATAAAAGTGATAGTAAAAATAAAATTCTATAATTCGTAAACTGAAATAAAAAATTTGATTATGCAAATAAACAGTTATTTAATTCATATCCTTAATTTAAATAATAACATCTAAATATCTTAATCTAAATATCTAAGATTTTGAAGGAAAACAATGACATTTTAAAAATAAAATACTATGTTAGAAAAATGAATACTGTTTTTCTTCAATACCTTTCAAATATATATCACCAAATGAATATATCACCAACAGAAAAAGTTAAATAAAATTATTATATTATTTTTTACGTTTACAAAAAATTAAAATTAATTTTTTCGAATAGTTTATGAATAAAAAGTAGTTCTTATTTAATGTCTTTTCAATGTCTTTTAACAATCTTGTAGAGTACAGTTTCAAACAATTGTTTTGTATTTGAATGATTTGTTATATCGGTTTTTATTCGCAACAAAAAATAGTTCTCGGCTAGTCTGAATTATTTTACATCCGTGTAGTTTCCATTTTTTTAATGGATTTGTAGATTATCTAATTTCTCTCGTTAAAAGAAATCTGCGAATCCACGATGTTTGAAAGCAACAGCCTTGTTTAATTACGTCGGAAGTGATACGATCGTGCGATGGCCTCCCTCGTCGGCAAAGGGCGAAGGAGAAATCGCTGCATCAGCCAAGACTACGATTATCGCGAGTAATTATCATTACCGGAGTATCGGTAATTAATTGTTAACATTTGGGGGGGGAGGGAGGGGAGGTCGTATAGGCCCAACTGCAACAGCTGCTTTGTATGTCGCATTAATTACCTCTAGAGTAATGGACATCTGCCTGATATTTATATCACAACGCGACCAATCAAATGTTATCTCTATTTTGTAATATCGAACGTGCCGTTGTTCATAATATGCGCGAAACATAATTTAGATGCATGTACGCGGACGTGTATCCAAACTAACCAATCGTGTGACGGATACGATATTAATGTCGGTAAACATTTGTATGATAACAGAATATAAATAACAGTGTGAACTTGTGCTTTTAGCAGGCGTGCTTTTAGCAGCGTGCGCTTTTAACAGGAAAAAGTTGTATGTTTTTGAGTAAAAGAATAAAACAAACATTCATTTTACATTTTGCACGAATAATTTTATTTCATTTAATCTTTTAATGCGTACGCGAAGTAGTTACGCCTCGTTTGTAAAGGCGATATATTGAAGCGTACGAATATCGTAAGCTTCCTTCCTTGAAATTTAGCATTTTCCTTTCGTGCACACGCAATAATATGTCGTAGTACATTAAAATCGGGTGAAATGCATCCGCGAGCATAATCGGTTATGCACGGTTAATCAAATATATCGCATGCATGGCGCATGCATGGTCTTTATCAACGTATAGCATTAATTATCAAAGATTAATCGATATCAATCGAGGCATCATAATGCAAATTTGCAAAGTACCAATTGCCGAATTGGAGCCTGTTTTTATTTACAATTCATATGTTAATGCGTGTAAATACTGTACATAATTAATAGAGATATTTAATTCAAGCGTGTATTGTTTACACGTACATTACGTTTGTATAAAATATACATATATAATTTACTGTTATTATACTTATTACATCCTAAAATGCAATGAAGAAATGCCGAGCGAGGAAAGTGTATTGTTGCGGAAAACCGTACGTCGAAAAGTGGTGCAAAACTGCGCAAAACTTGAAAAATGGTTTTGAAATGAAAATTTACAATTCCACTGTATAAATTGGAAAGGAAGGAAAAATAATTTACGTTCTATTTAATACTTTCGAAGCGACGCATGACCTCTTTACATGACCTCTTTAATAATATAATTTAATGAGATAAATACTCGCTCTTCCATTATTATTTTGCTCCGTTATTTTCGGTCTGCAACTATCGGTACAATGGTGCCTCCCATGAGATAGATGAGACGAGCTAGATCAAAAGTTTCGCGTTACTTTCCGATTTGGTCTATGTTTGCCATATGAGGAGACCCATGAAAAGATAACACCATTTAGATTGGAAAACTTTGGCCTGCAAACTTCGCACACTTTGGCACTCGCGAAAACGAATAACCGGCAGGAAGTAAAAATCGTCCGGATCATTCATTATCACGAGATTGCCACGATCTTTTCTCAAAACGTTCTGATCTTCTTCTGGATCTTTATCTTTGTGAGAATGATCTTAGTTCATTGTTAATCTTTCTTTCTAATTTATCAAACTTTCTTTCTCAGCTCGACTATAATAACGAAGAGATATATGAAGGGGATTATTTATAACTATATAATAATAAATTGTTGTAAATTAAAATAACGAAAATATACATTCGAGATATATTTAAAAAAAGAAAATGTTTATATAAATAAAGTATAAGTAAAAAACACAGCAGAAAACTTATTTATGTTAGAAAACTTACTGTTTTTTCTGTGTTATTACTACAAACTGTAAACGCTAAATAAATAATGCATTTCTAATTATTATTTACTAGAGCGATAAATTGAAACATATCGAAATTGGCTTTAATTAATAAATTGTATTCTATTTAATTTTGTACGCTATTTTCGTGTAATGTATATAAAATTTGCGTATAAAATTATAATCCTTAATGATGTTGTTATTCCATATTTGTCGTAAATAAATGATTTTTCCTATTTTAAATGATGAATTTCCATTAATAATAAAACAATAACAAAATTGTTTATTTTTGCTGATTGAAAATTCAGTAATAAAAAAATTATCTTATTACCAACGACCAATTACAATTATCTTACTTATAAGATAGAAGAAGCCCGTCCGCTAACGATAATTCATTCCACGACAAATAAAATAAGAGTTCTTAAAGTGCGTTACGAGCGATGATCTCTCTTCGCTGATGCGCGATAGCGCAAATACGAAGTTTTGATGGAAATATATCGGCGGAAACTAGACTGAAACATGAAAAAACACACACAACGTTAAATACATATCTCACAACGGGGGTGGGGGGGGGGGGGAGGAGAATCGCGTATTTCCGGCCGCTTGTCCCGTCACGTCGTAAAGCTCCAACGTCAAGCTTTATATCACGATCGTCGACGTCGCGGACGCGCGCAAAAAAAGTCCTGCTCGGTGCTCGGTGCTCGCGCACGCTAAATGATATCATCGAAAATACGATGAGGCGGAAGAGATTGATACTTCTCCACTCCGATAAATCGAACGCGACGGCCTGTCGAGGCGCGAGTGATTTTATTGGTTTTATCTCGCGCGCGCGAGTCGAATCTCTCGTGTCGAGTCGAGTCGAGTCGAGTCGAGTCGAGTCGAGTCGAGTCGGCCCCGATCCGATTCTCGCTCGTGTAACTCTTGATTTCGCACTCCGCTTGGAACTTTTATTAAATCGCCTGATTTATTGTCGTTCCAGAGGAGTGCACGGCCGACAGGTGCAGTAAGGTGCCGTGTTCCCACGGTGGAAAATGCCTGACAACCGGAGGCGACACGGCTGTCTGTCTCTGCCCGCTCGGCTACACAGGTGATCTCTGCGAAACCCGGGTGGACCTGCAGGTAACCGAATCAATTTCGAAGGAATTATTAAGCACGAACAATCCGCCGGGCTTATAAATGAGAATGTGAAATCTGCTGGCGGCACAAAATTTCTAAATATTAAGGGCCTTAAGGCTAAGTTATTTGCAGCAATTTGCAGCGATAGTCAACAAAATCGTTATAGAGATATTTCATCAAAAATATAAAAACGGTTTATTCAGTTCAATTTACGCATTACAAACAACTAGCAAATTATTTTATTTTTTTCTTCTAATTTATTTCGATAATTGTAAAATTTGTTTTAAAATACACATAATATTTGAAAATACATTTTTCGTTATTATCCCACTGCATTTCTTGGTAATATTACAAAATTTCAATTGCTTGAATTTTATTTATTTAACAATTTTTCTTACAAAGTAGATACTTTTTAACATAACGCATTGTTGCATTAAATGTTGTGTTGTTAAATGTCATCAAAAAGAGGCGAACATTTTAATTAAAAAAATGTGAATGTGTACAGACAATTGTAAACAAATAATAGATAGATTGTGCGACAGTTATAAAATAGACTCTCGTTACTCGACAAATGAAAAGCAACTGCATAACAAATTACTATGCTTCATCTTTGTTAAACTCGTTACTGGCGTAAATTTAGACGTTTGTTTGATCTGAAGTCCAATTTTAGACAGCAATTTTCGAGTACCGAGCGAATATTGCAAGGCGCTATTCGCATGCTAGTAACGTTCGCTGCAAGATATTTTCAGTCGGCGAGGGGCTTAAGTCGTTTTCATGTTTTCAACAATTTAACATTAGTATATTTCTTTCAACGTATATTTCTTGCATACTTTCTTAAGATAACTTTTATTACATAAAATTATATACAAAAATGGTAGAAAATTAATAACGAGATTGAAAAATAATTTTTATAAAAATGAGTCCAACAATACTCATTAGAGATTTTTAGAAGTACAAATAACCATTAAAACCTCTTGAAAAGAAGATATGCTGTGGATTGCATCATTTCACGAATCGAAATATATAGTTTATCATGCAAGAATGTCCAATAATATTATCCATTTTGTCTATTCATTTTGTATATTCGTTTTATTATCGTTTTGTGATAATGTTCTCTCTCTCTCTCTTTCTCTCTCTCGTCCAATCTAACACATTCTAACACAATCTAACACATTCGTAGAAGTTTGCTGAAATGCACATATGAGTTTATTAAGCATATGTAGTATAACAAGTAAATATGCAAACAGAGATTTATTTTTCATATTCAAACCACTTTTAAATCTAAAAATTATAGTATACTCGCGATTGTGTCGAAACCATTTTAACTTTTAATTTTAGCTTTAAAAAAATCTTATCTTTTGGGAAAAACATGCAATGTTAGCACATATCAAGAGTTACTATATGTAGATCGCTTTGTACCCGGGAACAGTATTGTATCTGTACTTGCAGATACACAGGCAGTGAACATGTTTACATCATATCAGACATGACGTTGTTATGCTGTCATGTTGCGAGATTTGACGGATTATACGCGGGCTTACTTTAATCTAAGACCCGATTGCATCGACAACACGAATCGAATAAGCTTGACTTAAGCATCAGCGGCATTGTCTCTTTTCAAATTAAACTCGTATCTATCGTCGACAAAGAAAAACAACATAATTCTTTCAGAGATCTCCCAGCAGCTCCTCTCTTAATCCTATCTATTTTCTACGCTTATTTATATTTTATGATTAAAGACACACACACACACACACACACACACACACACACACACACACACACACACACACACACACACACACACACACACACACACATACTATAAACTTCTCGAAAGAAATTTATACCCGACGATACGCGCCAATTTACGATATTAAACGGTTTAATATTAACATAATTTATTCAGGTTGTCTCGCGTTACTTTTACATAAAATATTATGGCCACTCCATTTCCCGCTCGTGTATTTAAAAACTGCTTCTCGATACGCATTATTCCCCTGCGTGAATACATTGTCGCAAAATGCGACGCCGCATACGAGAATCGATCGCGTCCGGCCGCTTCGCAAATGACGCGTTTATCCGCGCAATGAGCGAGCGGGTACGAGTAATTAACACTCGCGCCGCTAACGAGGCGGCTTAAACGAGTAGAAAGACATAATTTATGTGTCAATATACATACACATATATATATATATATAAAATATGCGGATAAAAATGCATCGCAACGATGCGTATTGAAACCATTGCGATTTATATCAGTCGACTTAATGGAGCGAGCGTGGCCGCATTCGCCGGAAGTCACCGTATGCGGTTCACCCGCGCGTGTGCACGGTTTCTCGCGGATTATGCGCGGTTGTATATACGATATCGATTATGGCAATGGCGGAAAGCAGAGGGGGGGGGGAGTATATTCGTTCCGGTATGATGAAATTGGTATCGGCATTCGACCGATATTACTTCCGGCATGAAACGAAACGACACCGAATACCGACCTATAAAGAGATTCATTCACGTGCGTTCAGTAGCATTTTCAGTATTTCGCCTTCAGTATCAACAATAGTCATGCTAATTGTAAGATTGATAATTTGAGGACCAAACGAGTCTTTGATCTCTGTAAATGACGTACTGTAGAGATCAAAAGTCATTTCCATACTCGTATTAGAAATATTTCAGTTAAAAGTTTGAAATATTTGTATTACATAATTTGCCATCTTAATTAATTAGCAATTAGCTTTTACAAATAGCGATTTAAGCTGAAATTATTCATAAATTTTAAATAATTAGTCTGATTAATAATTTGCTTATAATAACGACAATTCGACAATTCCAATTAGAAATATATTAAAAATTAAAATATTTTTATTCTTTGCAATGCGAATTGCATCTGCGCGAACAAAAACTGCAAAAGGAACTTCGGTAGAGGGATGGGTATTTCGCAGGTGGATCACCGCATTTCTGATCTCGAAATCAGAACATAAACCAGCTCGAGAAACGACTATAAAGGGCTCGAGTTAACGAGTATCACTTCAAACTCGAAACTCGTTCTCGAACTTTGGTCTCGCCCGACCGTACCCGAGTTTAATTCCATTAACGTACAAGCGGAAGAGATATAGCCGCAATAACCAAATGTCACTGGAATATCGTCATAATTTACAACGACGATCATTTTTCCAACATCCGTCGAAAGACATTGTCAAATACCGAAGTGAAACACTAATGTCTATATAAAGTTAAATAATTCTATCGATATGTTTTTATTCGCACAGAGACAAGTTTGTGTGTGAGACAAGTTTTATTGAATTATTAATACGAGACAAGAAAGATAATGTTCCTTCCAATCAAATGTAAATAGTTGACGAATTTCCTTGTCGAAGTATAAAAGATAAAATTACACGTATATTCTGTTATTGGATTTTCTGAAGTGACATAAATATGAAGTAACATGATAAAATGCACACTTTTTTTTTTAATTTATCCAGTTAGAAGAAATACATGATATTAAAAAATCTACTGTAAACAACATTCCATTATTTATAAAATTTTATTTTACTACGTTTCATGAGTGCAAAAAGTGTTATTTATCAATGTGCATTTTTATTAGAAAAAACTTAAAAAGTGCAATTCTGAATGTGCAATTGCAATTTTTTGAAAATTATAACCTTCTTTCTATTCATGTGCTATTTGAACAAAGTGGTTTCTACACTAAAATGTAAGAACGTAAAAAGCTTTTCCAGAAATTATATGCCCAAGAGAAGGATACATTGCATTCCGTAGGCATAAAATTACGTTGGCCGGAAAAGGAAGATATATGTGTGTGATTATTTTTATTTTTAAAAAATGTACCATAAAAGCATCATATAAAATATTGCATTACCGACTTTTTGATATTCGAAGCTAGACTAGTCATATTTGTCATTTCGTTTTTTGTTTAGTATTCTCTTTTATATTTTTTATATTTTTGCATCTATTTTATATTTTTTATATTTTTGCATTAAATTTATTTGCTGATAAAAACTAATATTAGATGTGTGTGTGTGTGTGTGTGTGTGTGTGTGTGTGTGTGTGTGTGTGTGTGTGTGTGTGTGTGTGTGTGTGTGTGTGTGCGTGCGTGCGTGCGTGCGTGCGTGCGTGCGTGCATGCGTGTGCGTTTAATAACAATAACATAAAGTAGATGTTTCGATCCTTGAATCCTCTTCAGTACAAAATCAAAGTAATATATTGTCGGAAGTTAAAGAATACAATAAATTAAAAAATTAAAAAAAGAATAAATGTTGATGGTTTGTAAGTTGAGCAATGGTAAAACGTCGATGTCGAGTGCATAATCAAATAAAAATAACGAAATTTTTCAATTATGTACAAGTTATTGTCTAAAGTTAAAAATTATTAGTCGTCAAAAGTTGAAAACTTGTGCATAGATCTTCAAGATCTTCTTGTGTTCTAAAATTTATTGATTTAATCTGCAGAATCTTGAATGATTTTTTTTTGTTAAATTTATTTAGTAATAAAATGATATACATTAATTCAATATCTTTATTAGACCCTAAATGTAACTGTAAAAGATAATATTATCATATATATAATTTTAATATGTGTGTATAATAAAAATTTAACATTTTTCATTATACTCTTAATTGTGTTAGTAAAAGCAAATACAATATTTTAAATTATAATTATCCAAATTAAAAATATTGCTTTATAATCAAACAATTTATGTGAAAAACACGCAACCGTTTCATTTATTCCCACTTAAAGTACATTTATATGTAAAATAAAT